TTACCATTACCTCACCTTCTGTGGATGGATCTTCACCAAGTTTGGCATGAAGGTTTGTTTGATCAATGAGGAGATATATGCAAATTTGCGGTTTCACCTTTTGTGTTTTGCAGCTTTTATGGGCGTTTTTGCGTGTTTATTTTTTTTACAATTACATATAAGAGAAGCAACTTTTCATTAATCATCAATTTACATAACTTCCGTCCAGCAGACGGATACTCCAGCAAGTATACAATATAAATGTCCAGGGAACGGGTACTCCAGCCAGTATACAATATAAATGTCCAGGGGACGGGTACTCCAGCAAGTATACAATATAAATGTCCAGGGGACGGGTACTCCAGCTATTATATAATATAAATATCCAGGGGGCGGGAATTCCAGCCAGTATACAATATACCAACACATTCCTTCCACTATCATCTGGTTCTTATACACAGAAAAACCTGGGTCTGGTTGGAAAGAAATGGGGAGAGGTGAGATGCAGACTTAGATACCCATGCTACTGACCAAAAAAGATGGAATGCTGCATAGGTGCTGACCTGGTTTTTCCAACTGTGAAAATTCATTAACACCAACGTCTTGTCTCTCTCTCTCTCTCTCTCTACTTCTTCAGATACAAGATTAGTATAGAGGAGATTAACAACAAAGACAAACCACAAATATGTTATTTTACCATCAACAGCATTTTATAGACCTCACAAAATAAATACCTACTGACGGAATGTAGCTGAACTAGACCATTTAGCTAAAGTTCTTGTTGCTAGAATTAATATTTATACTGTTGATACCTTGCAATACTCACTCAGACCAACTTCAGCTAAATACGATTGTCCATAGTGAATGTGCTTCACTGTTCAGAATGGCTACCAACAATGGACCATCAGAATCCTGTATTGTCTCATATGACTTGGTCCAGTAATTTCAGGTGGCATCACACTAACATTCTCGCCCTTTCAGCCGTGGGGGCATTATAATATGATGGTGAATCCCAACTATTCGTTGGTAAAAGAGTAGCCCAAGAGTTGGCGGTAGTTGATGATGACTAGCTGCCTTCCCTCTAGTCTTACACTACTAAATTAGGGATGGCTAGCGCAGATAGCCCTCATGTAGGTTTGTGCGAAATTCATAACAAACCAAACCAAAGGTAACCTCAAAGAAATAAGACCTATTTCATTGAAATTCATAGTCATCCAGTCCACTTTTCTGCACTAGCAAAGCACAAAATTCCCTCACTGTACATTGAAGAGTCACACACACATTTAATTGTACAAGTGAGAATTTCTCTTCAGCACCTCATGATCTGATTTGTATACATACCATTACTTGACCAGGATGAGCAACTTTCACAAACATCAGACTACCACTTTGCTATGGAAAGTCACTCAATAGCTCAGAAAGCAAGGATTTTAATGTCCTTTGAGTCATTGGTTTCTTGACCGAACAACTGCACTTGCTGTGATAATCTACAGAGTTTATCAAACTAAACCATTTGTTAGATTGGATAGCAATGGTTGTGATACCCTTTCTGTCATTGGTTTTTCAACCAAATGATCGTCATAACTTATATGTTGTGATACCCTTTCTGTCATTGGTTTTTCAACCAAATAACCATCATAACTTATATGTTATAACACCCTTTCTGTCATTGGTTTTCAACCAAATGACCATCATAACTTATATGTTGTGATACCCTTTCTGTCATTGGTTTTTCAACCAAATGACCATCATAACTTATATGTTGTGATGCCCTTTCTATCATTCATTTTTCAACCAAATGACCATCATAGCTTATATGTTAACTCAACTTAGTGATCATGAGGTCGGCATTGGTGTTTGAGCTGACCATTTCAGCTATGATGTTGCCCCCTCCTTACCAACCACTTGATCAAGTAGAGTGCTGCACTAAACAGATTCAACATCAGGCATAGCATTGTATGTCCCTGAATCTGTTTATTCCAGACAGAGACTTGTCTGAAATATATAAGGAAGTGGTTGAGCTATCTCCTCATATACCAGGGGAAAGAGCTGCTTTGCCTTCACCATAGGCATGTATGGTCTTGACTTGGATCTCTCAATGATGGACTCACAATCCATATGGGCTGAACAGCCCAGTGTGACTGTGATTCCATTAAATGGCAAGATCTAGAAGCTATACATTCTATCAAATGTCACTTCACAACCACGAGGGTGCAGAATAACAGGGTACATGACACAGTTCCTTTGAGATATGTGCCTTAGTAACTCACTTCCAATCATGGGGAAAGTCTCTATTGCCCCACAATCCATTTCCTCCCTCATGAGTTCCCAGTGTTCTACCTGTTGGTAATACACCTCTTGTTAGCGGCTATTGGCCAATACCTAGGGGTATAACTGCCTTGCCTCCCTCAGTCTTGGACAACCTACACCACACACCACTCCAACAATCCCCAGTCATCTGGGATTTAAGCATGCAAAGGCTCAACCTCAGGGGAGAACACCCTCACCCTTGTGAGTGTTCCAGATGTCATTAATTCCTCATTCTGGGCTTACAGTGGTAGTATGACGGCTGTGAAGTACTTTTGCAGCATTAGCAAAAGTCTAAAATGCAGGAGATGACTTCTTCTGGACCAAGCCATCATTCCTGCAGGCTGCACTTCCTTAGGTCCTGACTCTACTTACTCTAGCTTGCACACCCATCATCCTGTAGAAAATGTCATTTTAAGTAACCAATAAGTTAAGGTACTTACTGGAGTGTTGAAGAGTTTGGCTACTCGCCCATTTGAAAAACCCAAACCTCTTCAAAAATTATGTTTGTGGTCATAGCACCAAAATATCTCCCTCATCACTACTCTGTAGTTTTCTCCATTACATGTATTTTCCAGAGAGTAACGGTAGGGTCCTCTAAACAGAACATCCAGCAGATATTACACTATGAATTATGGGTCTGTTATTTTCTGAACCCGGACTGAGTTTACCAAAAAGAAGGAATCAAGGAACAAAAATATAAAAACTACAGTCTTTAGTGAAAAAACAATCAAAGTAACAACCAAATGAAATAAAACACAGTGTTTGTCTGTGAAGAGAAACCTTTGTTGGTTCTCTCTCGCCAGTCATGTTTGAGCCAACCCTCCATAAACTAATGTGAAACTGAATTAACATTAGAATTATATTGGATAGGTTCACTAGATACCAGGAGAGTTATTCAAGATATTAATTATGGGGTAGCACTAAACATCTTATTAACTGAGTCTATATTCAAGTAGTACACTACACAAAATAAAAGAAAATTAAGTTATAAAATAAACTCTCAAGGTCAAACTAAACAATTGAAAATACTCATGTTACCTTTACATTCAGTTAAACCTAAATTCATGTTGCTATAAAATCTCTCTAATATAAAAAAAGAAGTAAACCTTACAATTTATCTACAATTCTTACCAAAATCTGACTAACAGGGTAAAGCCTGGCTTTCAATACTAAAAACACAATAACAGCAACAACAAAGCAAGATTACTCACAAAACGCTTTTCGTTTACAGCGATATGCCGATAAAAACTCTCATACGTCACGAGGTATCTTTCCTGAAAGAGGTTGTATGATAAATTTGTGTAACAGGTTCCGGGAACACTAGAATAACAAAAAGTTGAATTGCTTAGTTGGGTGACTTTCTATGTTACAGGGGGTCCCACTGAAAATACAGACATTAAAAGAAAATTACATATTAACTAAGGGGGTAGAAAACATGTGGTACAATTCTGTACAAAAATATGATTCTATGATGACAGATGCTATGATAAAATATTTTGATTTATCTGTTTGTTGTTAAACATTTTTAGCATTGTAAGTCTTTAAACTTACCGCTGAGCCACTGGAAGGTGAAATATTTTGATGTAATAATACTGTTACGTCTCTGGTCGTTAGTTAATTTTCCGTAAAAATTCTTTCGGAAGAAACTTTAGCGATACAAGTTCTTTCTTAAATAAAACTGGTTTATTCTTTCTGAATACAACTTTGCAATACACTTGATTTCCACAGTCGCGCTATAACAAACGCTATAAATCACAACAACGTCTCACGTGCTCGACTCAACTGTCAATTACACATTACCTTGTTGCAGTCACTTCTTGGCTGCTTATATATACAATACTACCGCATATCTAGTACCCTCTCGAGACTTCAGGAACCTTCGAGAATATGACGTGTTACTAGAGTCACGTGACCCCCGCTGTCGTAATAATACTATTAAAGCATAAGTCAAATAAACAAAGAAAAACAACGTCAATAGTATACATGGAACACACAGGGCTAACATTTGAAGCTTCTATAACTTATTTTTTCCTGAATTACTTCTGTAAACCATACCTAATGTGCTTAACCCGATTTTCATGTGTGGGACATTGTCAGACAAAACATTCGACAGAAAAATGGCTAGACCGGCTGTGACGACATATATCAAACTTCCGGTTCCTTTCGTCACTTGGGGTATAGATATGATAAGTGAGGCCTGTTACTGACGTTAATAATGGAAAGTGTGAAGCTAAAAATAATAAGGAAGAATCTGGGTAAGATTATTATATGCACTAGTAACTTTAAAGAACTAGGTTATACGATTAGGCTTACACATGAGGAACTGGAATTAAGACACTAGACACTACTGCTTTAGGCTAAATAAGTGAATTATAATTTAATACTAAACACTACACTAATAGTAATAATACTGAGTAATACTACATTACTACTAATACTAGTTGTAGTAGTACTATCAAGTATAACTTGAAAGTAATGCCAGGTTGTGTTAAAGGGGATGTTTTTTATCGTCACAATAAAAAAAAATTAAAAAGATGAACAAGAAGTTAATATTTGAGCTTAGTTTTAGAAATTTTTTATAACCAAGTTAAAATTAAATGTATACATATTTAAGTCAATAAAACGCCAGTAGTGTTGTGAAAATTAATTCTTAAACTTAAAGTTCAGTATTTATAAATTTAAATTGTTTATATATATATATATATGTTCCTATAAATATAAGTAATTTGTAAATGACGTTCTCCCTAGTACTCACAGTAGCAATTTTTCTCACTTCTCGTCTTTGAACACTTAGAATTTTGGCAAAGTTTAAGTCTGTAAAGTTTGGAAATTATTTTAATTTTATGTTAACTTTTCTGTTTAATATAGTTTTTAATTGTACTAAATTTGAAGATGAGTATTCTTGAATTCTTCTACAAAAAATTAAAAATCGCCAGTTTTTGTCATGAACATATTCTCATGTTGGATACCTTTTAATACCTAAAACAGAGGTGAATAACTTGAAAATGTTTACATCTGTATTATATGTGTTGTATCCTAGCCAACCTAAGAACTCTGGTACTGGGCAAAAGGCCTTGTTTGGATTGATATAGTGTGATTGATGTATTCTTCTTTACTTTCAATCACAAGTTCCTAGAATTAGTATACCAGCAAGGCCAGTATATGCACATATCTTAACTTCCTCACCACTTTTTAAAGCTATTTTATATATTACAGCATAATAACATGGTAAATATTGTAATAATTCTACTTTAGGAATTTCATAATACTATATTTGATACTGTAATTTAGCATGAAATGTTCCAAAACTCAGTACTACTGCTAAAATCATTTACTGACAGTATGTATTTGTGTGGTGAACTACTGGATCTCTTGAACAACTAGGACTTAGTTCTGATGGTAATTATGACTTTAGCATTGTTAAAAGTAATTACTGAGACTTGAGGTAATGTTATATCTAACACTGTGTCAAAAGTGAACTACAAGTTCATATTCAACAAGTTTTACATTATTCTCTGAGGTGACTATTCAGAATGTTGTGTAAATAATATAGATGTGATTAATGATAACAGTGGTCTAAGTCGTATACTGACACCTTTTACTGGTGCTAGAAAAGATGCTATGCTAGTGGAGTCCATAAACAAGCAAAAATTGAAGTCATTATTTCTTAGCCTTCTTTTAGAGTGTTCCATTTTATACATTTATTCAATCAAGTACTTCAGATGTCTAGGTATAATTCAGGGATACTAGGATAACTTCATTCATGAAGTGTTTGAACTAAAATGTGAAGGTATATTTAAATTCTTTATTGTATTCTCTTTGAAATAAAGAAAAACTTCATTCTTTCAAACTGGTTATTGTGTCGCGGGACTGATTAAGTTCATAGTCGAAACTTTGATATCAGGGCATAATAAATTTGAACTATATATATACCTTGACAGACTTGTTCTTCAAATGAATATCAGGGAATGATAAATTTGAACTACATATATATATACCTTGACACACTTGTTCTTCAAAAGTTATTGTTCTCTCTAGCTTTATTTCAACAGGTTAAGTGATGTTTTTGTGTTGGTAGGGAAAAGGCTTCACTCAGTTTTTTAAGGAGGGATGATTCAAGGATTGCTGGTGATTGTTTATTAACATAGTTTCTAGCAGCCATTTGATTTTATATTGTTCTCATTCAAAAACTTTTCTTGTGGATTAAAGCATTAAATGTTGATTTTTAAAAAGGACTAACTGTATATATATATATTGGCTCTACATTTTTATAAATATCTAACTGTTGATAACTCATAGTCTTTAATTATACTGACTACATTTTTATAAATATCTGTTGATAACTCAGTCTTTAATTATTTTGACTCTACATTTTTATAAATATCTAACTGTTGATAACTTGTAGTCTTTAATTATACTGACTATATTTTTATAAATATCTAACTGTTGATAACTCATAGTCTTTAATTGTATTGACTCTACATTTTTTAAATATCTAACTGTTGATAACTCGTAGTCTTTAATTATACTGACTATATTTTTATAAATATCTAACTGTTGATAACTCATAGTCTTTAATTGTATTGACTCTACATTTTTTAAATATCTAACTGTTGATAACTCGTAGTCTTTAATTATACTGACTATATTTTTATAAATATCTAACTGTTGATAACTCATAGTCTTTAATTGTATTGACTCTACATTTTTTAAATATCTAACTGTTGATAACTCTTTTCTAAATATCTAACTGTTGATAACTCATAGTCTTTAATTGTATTGACTCTACATTTTTATAAATGTCTAACTGTTGACAACTCTTAGTCTTTAATTATACTGACTACATTTTTATAAATATCTAACTGTTGATAACTCATAGTCTTTAATTATATTGACTCTACATTTTTATAAATATCTAACTGTTGATAATTCATAGTCTTTAATTATACTGACTCTACATTTTTATAAATATCTAACTGTTCATAACTCATAGTCTTTAATTATACTGACTCTACATTTTTATAAATATCTAACTGTTCATAACTCATAGTTTTTAATTATTTTGATAACTAAAGAATAGTATTTTAAAATGTAGTAATTTGTAAGGAATCGGTCCCTGTTCTAGTGCACGTTAAAGCCTGTTGAGGTGTAATGGTCAGTGACTGCAAAATGAATGCATAAAATCTACAAGAAAATGTCTAAGATATTTCCCACACTATCCTTTAGAGTTTTTTTTACTGTTATAACTTCAGTCTGTTCATTTTTCTTCAAGCATCTTAATTAAAAATGATAAATAAACTGCATGAGTTGGTTTTTGTTTAAATATAGGGACTACCATAATACCTGTCAAATGAAGAGTTATGGATTAATATGATCTAAGCTAACACCTTGTAGATGCCTTTTAATCGTAAGGTCATGCGTGTTAGTTATCACAATGTTAATTATTCTTACAGTCATGCAGAGGAAACTTTTAGTAAAGTTGGTGAGAAGAAAATGCTGGCCATATCTAGTACAAAGTCTCTAAACCATTCCAGACAATGTATGTTAGCCAGTAATAAGTACAGTCTCTAAACCATTCCAGACAATGTATGTTAGCCAGTAATAAATACAGTCTAAACTCTTCTAATCAATGTATGTTAGCCAGTAATAAGTACAAAGCCTCTAAACCCTTCTAAACAATGTATGTGAGTAATTAGTCTCTAAACCATTCCAGACAATGTATGTTAGCCAGTAATAAGTACAGTCTCTAAACCATTCCAGACAATGTATGTTAGCCAGTAATAATAAGAGTCTCTAAACCATTCCAGATGATTTATGTTAGCCAGTAATAAATACAGTCTAAACCCTTCTAATCAATGTACATTAGCCAGTAATAAGTACAGTCTCTAAATCTTTCTAGACAATGTAAATTAGTCAGTAATAAGTAAAAAGCCTCTAAACCCTTCTAAACAATGTATGTTAGTGAGTAATTAGTCTCTAAATCTTTCTAGACAATGTAAATTAGTCAGTAATAAGTACAAAGCCTCTAAACCCTTCAAGACAATGTATGTTAGCGAGTAATAAGTATAGTCTCTAAACCCTTCTAAACAATGTACATTAACCAGTAATAAGTACAAAGCCCCTAAACCCTTCTAAACAATGTATATTAGCCAGTAATAAGTACAAAGCCTCTAAACCCTTCAAAACAATGCAAGTTAGCTAGTAAAAAGTACAGTCTCTAAACCCGTCTGAACAATATACATTAGCCAGTAATAAGTACAATGTGTCTAAACCCTAACAGACAATATAGGTTAGCTAGTAATAAGGCAAATGGGAAGCTAAGTTTGATATATATAAAAATTAATAGAGATTATTGAAGGTTATCAGTTCACTATAAAGAGTTGGTTAGCCTGCACTTGTGACATAGATCACCTTATTTAAGAAAGGATCATGAGTTGTTGTAGAGAATTCAAAGAAGAGATACTAAAGTAATTCCAGAATTGGGTGGATTTTTGTAAGGGAATATGTTGAAATCTCTTAATATCCTTACACAGGTGAGAAGAAAGGCTGAGGGAGACATAATTGAATTCAGATGATGTTTTCTTAAAAAACCAATGTAGGCTGTAAAAATAGAGGACAGAAGTTTAAGATATGGAAAATTTCAGACATGATTACACTCCAGTTAAAGCAGCATTATTTTTCTAAATGAGTAATCACTCTATGGAATACCTTAAAATTTGCTTTCAGCTTTAGCATAGCTGCAACATTGAAAAGGTTTAATGAAGAGATTGGGTGAGAATTTTAGAGATCAAAGTGGGATATAATAAAACAGTTTTTCTGTGTACTTTAGAGTAATGGTAGAAAATAATACAGTATTGGTAGGCCAAATGGCCCCTTGTATCCCTTAGAAATGAAAAATAAATTTAGAAATCATACTTCATGAAACTTGAATCAGAGGTTATCCAAGAAGCACTAAATCTTCTGAAATGACATTACATTCCAATGTAAAATGTACAAGTAGATATGTAAAAGTTAAGAAGTCTGAAGAAACACATCAAACATCTCTATAACCCTAGCATTAGTAATAAAAGTTCACTTGGGTTCAAACTGGGTCAATCACCAGTTTTTGCTATGAAATTCTCCATATTTGAATTTTTAATATTTTGGAAAATGTATTTCTAGTTGACTAGATATTAATATTTTTAATTAAATAGGTAACCAATTTAGTTAAAAACTATATATAGATATATATACGTAAAAGAATTTATATGCGAAT